AATGGCCATCATGGAAACTCAAAAATGGTTGCAATAAGTATTTTAAGCATTTGGCAGGCTATGTTTAATTTTGTTTATTATTAATGATCAGTGACAGACAGGAGAGGAAGCATAAAACATCATTAGTTTTCAGCTTATACAATGAGCCCAGAGTAGGCTATTATTTTAATATACCCCTTGGTATTATATTGTACTCCTTGATTATTTCTGATATACTTCATATGTGCAAAGTGTTAACTAGCATTTTAGTTTTTTAACAAAGTGTATTTTATGTTTTGAAGGAATATCATAAAGTTCAACTCTTGATTTTTGTATTTTCAAAAAGTGTGTTGAGCTTCTCTGATTAGAATATCAGCTCTATTGGACATATCATTGAGGATAACTTTATGGGGAAACTATAGGATTAGAAAGCCCTTTTCCTCCTGCACGAACATTTAAGAAGGAATAATCAATATACATCTCTTTTTTTTTCTTTATCTGCCCTTCCCACATTCCTCCTTGGCTACTCCCAATTGGGGCACCCCCAGCTCAACAGCTTGTGCCGGGGTTTGGAAGAGAACGCATACATAATCTGATCCAAGGGGGCTTAGTGTCTTACAGATGCTTCCATGGAGAGAGCTGTAAATTATGATTATGGAGCAAGTTTCTGTTCTTGAAATGATTATCACACATGGTCAACGTTAGAGAGGAAATACCAGGTAAAGAGAAGTGGCATATATGAGGTGACAACTGGGCTAGAGCAAACTGAAAGGATTTAGTGATAGGACCAGGTGGGATTTGTATTTCCAAAGACTGGGAGGCAAGTGGATTGGGGAATTGAAACAAGTCGTGGGTTTCCAGCCTGGGAGTCTAGAAGGAAACTTCTGCTCGAAGTGTGGGTCTTGTAGAAGGTTAGGATTTCTAGGCAGAGGGTAAAGAACAGAAAGGGAACCTCAGACATGAAGGATGTTTGGGGGATTCCGAGTACTCTAGTTTGTAGCAGCATTAAAGAAGGGGAGAGGGGCTTCCCTGGTGGCGCAGTGGTTGAGAGTCCGCCTGCCGCTGCAGGGGACACGGGTTCGTGCCCCGGTCGGGGAAGATCCCACATGCCGCGGAGCGGCTGGGCCCGTGGGCCATGGCCGCTGGGCCTGCGCGTCCGGAGCCTGTGCTCCGCAACGGGAGAGGCCACGACAGTGAGAGGCCCGCGTACCGCAAAAAAAAAAAAAAAGGGGAGAAAGCAAAGTTAGGGCAGAAAAGTGAGTCTGGGGTTACATTGTGAAGACCCTTAAGTATCAGAGTGAACAGTTTGTAATCATCCTGTGTGGGGATGAGGCTCTACTTCTCTTCCTCTCAGGAAGCTGGTATTTTTCATGAACTCTTCCCTATATTTGTCTTGTCTCCTACAAGGTAAGATCCTCGGTCATATTTATTTTGATTTATAGCCCTAATGCTAAACAGATGCTAGATTTATTTAATGTATTGGTTCTTGACTATATATAAATCACTGTGACTACATAGCTCCTTTTATATTGTATGTCCTGATATATATTTATGGTACTAATATTATGCAATAAATATTAAAAATTTTTGTTTCATGCATTATATACATGATGTGTGTGTATGATTTCTATAGGCTTAATTGGTTTAAAAGCATATTTGCTTAAAGCAGATTTTTAAAATGTCTTCTTTCAAGATCATTTCAATTTGAGCCGGTAATTAACATGTGGCCCAATCAGGACTCATGTTTTCAAATACTAATTCAGCCTCAGAATCTTAGAGCCACAGGGCCCTCAGCAATCATTTCCCCTTCTTTCTTGTGCTTTCTTTTACAGATGAGGAAACCAGGCTCACCGCCAAGGCACACAACTGGTTACTGGCAACGCCAGGGTTAAGACTCCCTTCTCTGGTATCTTTCTACACACCACCCCTCTTATCTGAAATAAGTGACCAATAAAAAAACATTCAGGGACTTCCCCGGTGGCGCAGTGGTTAAGAATCCGCCTGCCAATGCAGGAGACACGGGTTCGAGCCCTGGTCTGGGAAGATCCCACATGCCCGGAGCAACTAATTCTGTGCCCCACAACTGCTGAGCCCACATACCACAACTGCTGAAGTCCATGCACCGCAACAAAGAGCCCCCACTCACCACAACTAGAGAAAGCCGTGCACAGCAACGAAGACCCAATGCAGCCAAAAGAAACCCCCCAAAACAAAACAACATTCAAAGGCCAATACACATTTACGGTTAAAAAATTTCACAGGACACATCAAAATGGATCAGTAAGTTCCATAATGGAGACACAGTAGGCATACTTTTATTTGTTAACAGCATTACATTAGCACATGTGAATGTTTCTTTCAGTTATTATTACAAGTGGTACTCCACAATTTCTCCTAACAAAAGTGAACGTGTGTGGGACTTCCCTGGTGGTCCAGTGGTTAAGACTCTGTGCTTCCAAATGCAGGGGGCCTGGGTTTGAACCCTGGTTGGGGAACTAAGATCCCACATGCCAAGAGGCCAAAAAAAAAAAAAAGGGAACGTGTGGGGGTAACAGAACAATAGAAACAATAGAAAAACAGTTCACAATGAGACCATTTCTTCTCCTGGGTATGACCACGTTTTCTTAGTTTGTAATCCAGCTTCTAACAATTTGGTCAGTGGATCATCTTGGAGAAGCAAGGCCCTAGCACTTGGAGGCCATAATTGTAACCGAGCAGGACACTATGGGGCCTTCCGGGGACAGACCCCCTCCCCCATGGCTTCTGCTTTAGGTCCTCTCTGAAGTACCTAGATAATTTGTATCTGATGCATATTTCCTGAGTTTTTCAGATGCTAAAACCACTACCAAATGGAAGAAATTAACTACTTGATGATCAAGAGCATTAGCTCCAGACCTTCTGGCACCTAAGGATTGATCACCATCAACCAATCAGAGAACTGTGCACCAGCTGATCACATACCCTGGGACACCCCTCCCTCACTTGGCCCTTACAAAGGCTTTGCTACAATCCTTTGGAGAGTTCTGGCTTTTTGAGCACGAGCTACCTTTTCTTGATTCACCCTGCAATAAACCTTTCTCTGCTCCCAACTCAGACGTTTCAGTATCATTTGGCCTCACTGTGCGTCAGGCACATGTACTTGCATTTGTTAACTTAAATAGTTTTATGAACAGCATATCCAATCTTGTGGGTATTTTCCAAGTTAAAACAGAACGAACCTCGCGAACGTGTGGTGGTAACAGAACAATAGAAACAATAGAAAAACAGTTCACAATGAGACCATTTCTTCTCCTGGGTATGACCACGTTTTCTTAGTTTGTAATCCAGCTTCTAACAATTTGGTCAGTGGATCATCTTGGAGAAGCAAGGCCCTAGCACTTGGAGGCCATAATTGTAACCGAGCAGGACACTATGGGGCCTTCCGGGGACAGACCCCCTCCCCCATGGCTTCTGCTTTAGGTCCTCTCTGAAGTACCTAGATAATTTGTATCTGATGCATATTTCCTGAGTTTTTCAGATGCTAAAACCACTACCAAATGGAAGAAATTAACTACTTGATGATCAAGAGCATTAGCTCCAGACCTTCTGGCACCTAAGGATTGATCACCATCAACCAATCAGAGAACTGTGCACCAGCTGATCACATACCCTGGGACACCCCTCCCTCACTTGGCCCTTACAAAGGCTTTGCTACAATCCTTTGGAGAGTTCTGGCTTTTTGAGCACGAGCTACCTTTTCTTGATTCACCCTGCAATAAACCTTTCTCTGCTCCCAACTCAGACGTTTCAGTATCATTTGGCCTCACTGTGCGTCAGGCACATGTACTTGCATTTGTTAACTTAAATAGTTTTATGAACAGCATATCCAATCTTGTGGGTATTTTCCAAGTTAAAACAGAACGAACCTCGCTAACAATTAAGCAGGCGTCCTCTGTGTTAGCTCGATCTCTGGGGCACGTGTGCTGACTTCTGCACTTGTAACTCTGGCACCTTCTCTGGGCGAGAGGCTGATTTATCTCCATCACTCAAGCTAGGGCCCAACACCAGGCACGTGGTACGTGCTCAAGGCTAATGGAAGAAAGGTTTGGACGCTTTAGGCTTCCAAGGGACAGAAAAACAGCATGCCTGAAAAATAAGGTTTTCTGGATTCTAACCCGTGTTAATTCACTTTGAGGCAAAGGCAGATTTCGCCCCTCTACTGAGCCCCAGATTTTCTTTTTCCCTCCCAAGGCTCCTGAATACACCTTAAAAGGAAGATGGAGCGTAAATCAGGCCAAGGAGTGGCTGCCATTCACTTGGGAGGCCTTGGTGCTTTCTTCCCTTTGTCCACCTGCTAACCTCTGCCAGGCCCGGGCCCCGCGCTCTCCCGTGAAGCCGTGAGCCTGAGCTTTTAAGAGGAGGGGGCGGGGAGGGCAAGTCAGCATGTGACAGTTTAAACAGGAACCCCGGAGCAGCAGGTAGAGTTTCTGAAGAGAGGGAATAAGAGAGACAGGATATTAGAACGTGACATAGCAGTCAAAGTGATTTTCAACGTAATAAATACTTACGATTTTTGTTTTTATGTTGTCAGTTTACTCCTTTAAGAATTCTGCTTCACTCTATGTACCTGGAAAGCCCTTCTTCACCTTAAGAACTCGATAAATATTCCTCTAGACATTCTCTCATGGTTTCATTTTAATCCATTAACACTAGAAATTTACTTTGGGTCTGAGGCCGGGAACTACCTTGAGACACTAGGGGCGGAGACTGCAGGGGAAACTCTGTGTGTGTGTGGGGGGGTGGGGTGGGCGGGAGAGTTGCTCGGTTGTCATAGAAACCGTCGGCTCGGCGCCCCAGCCGCCCCTGCGGGCGGAGACTCCCTCCCTCCCGCCTCTAGCCTGGTCCGAAGGGCGGGCGGGGCACCTACCAGGACCCAGTTTGTGAGTCCTGATCCGCAAGGCTTGGATGTAAAGTCAAACCAAAACGGTACCGCCAAAGGGGGAGGGGTGAGCCCCCTGCCCTGTGCCAGTCCCCAATTCGGTATGGCTGTCACCAGCGGCGTGGAAGCTCGGTCCTTCACCCTCGAGGAGGTCACAGCGGGGGAGGGGAGGTCACTGGGCTGGGTTCTGCCGGTGAGGGACGAATCTTCAACGGGATAACTACAGTGCCGCATAGAAGTTAGTGAACACTCAGCAGAACTGTAGGGGAAGCCTGGAGGAAAATCCCTGTCAGTTCTGATCATTGAAAAGAAACATTTTGTCTTGTTACTTCATGTCTGGATACATTTAGGCGCCAGAAGCCCTTAGTTCAAACTTAGTTGCAGTGTGACCTTAACATTTTTGAGCCTGTTTCCTAGTTTTACAACGTGAAAAGTAATTCAGAGATGGAGAATTATGAGGATTAAAGAAAAAGTGGGTAAAACCTTTAATAATGCCTGGTACCTTGTAGCCACTCACAATATTATAGTCACGATTTTATGTATCTTTTCCATGTTGAGGTTTTTAGATTTCTTTGGTCCTAAGTTGGAACTGCAAGGTTTATTTTCAGTGACATTCACTCAAAAATATTTACTGAGCTCCTCTTATGTTCCAGGTACTGTGCTATGCACTGGAGGTATAGAGTGACAAATAGATTTGGAACGCACATGTTTATTCTTAAATTACTATGACAACTGCAAAACTGAAACTTCCCTGCTTCCTTTTTTTAGTACCAAACATAACAAGAGGCTAAAACCGTAAGATACTGACAGTATGTAATGAGTTGAGCACATACATTTTCTGAGCATATATATTGAGTTTTGATTCTAGAAGAGGTTAGTGATTATTAAATTTTTATTGCCTACCAATTATTTGATGGCTCTCTATGTTCAGTTCGCATACCAAAATTTACCAGCAGGAAAACAAAACAAAACAAAACTTTAACATTATTTGCTCTCTTAGTTAATTTTCTAGGATTTTATAATGTCAGCATTTTCTCCATATCTTGAAACCCCTTAATGAACATGATTTTAACGGTTACGTAGTGCTTTATCACAAGCTATAATTCAGCTACTCCTTAAGTGTTGAATGTTAGATATTTCCCCCCATTTTTTTTGCAAGTATAAATGTGCTGCAATTAATTATTCAGCATAAACCTTGATTTTTCTCTTTAGTGTGTTTTCTAGAAGTCAAACTAATTAATAAAAGACTATGTGCTAGGTACTAAGTCAAAAATTATGAGAATTTTAAAAGACTTTTGATAACATAGCAAATTGCTTCTCAGAGGTTTCTGAGTGCCTCCTCAAACTACATATTCCTCAGGGTTTGTATTACCCATTTTTAACCTTTGTGAATTTGATAGGGGAAATTGTATAATTTTAATCTGCATCTTTTGGGGGGTTAATGAAATAGTTAGATATTTTTCCTCGTACTAGCCAATGCAACCTGAATTTGTACACATATTTCTATTACTACTGCTGCCATCCCGAATCTAAGCTGTATCATCTTTCACTTAAATTATTAAAACTAGTTTCCCAGCTGCGCCCCTGCTTCCTTCCCAACTGCTTCCACTCTGCTTTCCTACTCCATCCTTTCTCCACATAGCAACAAAGTGATCTCTTACCCAGTAAACTGGATGGTGTCACTCTGCTTCAGTGGTTTCCCTCTGAGGTTAGAATCACAGCCCCCTCTTCTTTGTAGGCCTGTGAGATCTGGCTTCTGTCCACCTCTTCAACCTTATCTCTCCTCTGCTTCTCTTTTCTAGGCTTGCAGGTCTTCTTTCTCTGTGTTTCTCAAACTCTCAAAGTTCCTGTTATGTTCTGGCCTTTGCTTTTGATGTTGTCTCCACCCAGAGTGCTTTAACTGTAGACTTTTCCACTGCAGCTGCATTTCATCTTCCATGGCTTAGTTCAGAGGAGCCTGCCTTGACTGACCCTGTGATCCAGAGCAGGCTTCCTGCTGCCTCTCTACCTGGACACTCTCTCATCTTTTGGTTTGAGGTCGACGCTTCTCTTCCAATGTTCATTTATTTTATTATTATTATTATTTATTTATTTTGGGGGGTTTACGCGGGCCTCCCACTGCTGTGGCCTCTCCCGTCGCGGAGCACAGGCTCCAGACGCGCAGGCTCAGCGGCCATGGCTCAGGGGCCCAGCCACTCCGCGGCATGTGGGATCTTCCCGGACCAGGGTACGAACCCATGTCCCCTGCATCGGCAGGCGGACTCTCAACCACTGCGCCACCAGGGAAGCCCCAATGTTCATTTATTTGATGTGCCAAAGTTTAAAATTTTTCTGTAATAAAATGCATTGCTGTTTTCCATGGGGTTTTTTATATAATAATACAAACTAATAACAATGCCGATTAACTGCAACAATTATGTCAGGCCCTGTTTTAAGTATGTAATAAACTAGTTAATGGTAGAGCCAGTATTATAACCTAGGTCTCTCTCTTTTTTTAATTAAAAAAACGTTTTTTAATTTTTTGCCCACGTGGCATGTGGGATCTTAGTTGAAGCCAGAGTCTTAACCACTGGACCACCAGGGAAGTCCCTTTAACCTAGGTCTCTTAACCCGACCTCTTAACCATGCTATCTATGTTGTCATTTTTGTAGTTAGATCCACTAATTGAATCTATATCTTAAATAATAAGCAGCCAACAGGAATAATACTGAATTTAAACTTTGGCAAATTTCTAGATAAGGTTTATGACTGAATTTTTTCTGCAGTAAAATATACATAACAAAATGTGCCATTTTAACCATTTTTAAGTGTACTCGGTAGCTTAAGTACTACATTCACAGCGTTGTACAATCATCACTATTGTCTGTTTCCAGAACTTTTTCATCACCCCCAAAACAGAAACTCTATTCTCTAAATAACAGCTCCCCATCTCCTCTCCCCCAGCCCCCGGTAACCACTATTCTGCCTTGTCTCTACTCATTTGTCTTTACTGGGTACCTTATATAAGTGCAGTATACAATATTTGTCCTTCTGTGCCTGGCTTATTTCACTTAGTGTGATGTTTTCAGGGTTTATCCATGTTGTAGTATGTATCAGTACTTCATTCCTTTTTATGGTTGAATACCTTTCCATTATATGCATATACCATATTTTGCTTATCCATTCATCTGTTGATGGACCCTTGGGTTGTTTCCACCCGTTGGCTATTGTGTATAATACTGCTGTGAACATTGGTTTATATGTATGTATCTGAGTCCCTGTTTTTAGTTCTTTTGAATATATACCGAGGAGTAGAATTGCTGGATCATATGGTAACTCTGTGTTTAACTTTTTGAAGAACCACTAAATTGTCTTCTTTAGTGGCTGCACAATTTTATATTCCCAAGGGCAATGCATGAAGGTTCCAATTTCTTTATTTCCACATTCTTGACTTGTTATTCCCTTTTTCTATTTTTTTTGATAAAAGTCATCCTAATGGGTGTGAAAAAATATCCCGTTGTGGTTTTGATTTCCATTTTCCCTAATAACTAAAGAAGTTGAACATTTTTTCAGGTGCTTATTTGCCATTTGTGTATCTTCTTTGGAGAAATGTCTAAGTGCTTTGCTCATTTTGGAATTGGGTCTTTTTTATTGTTCTGTTGTATGAGTTCTGTATAGATTCTGGATATTGATCTCTTATGAGGTATATGATTTATAAATATTTTCTTTCACATAACTGAATTCTAGTAGTTATAAAAGGTATATTTAATTTCTTTGGCAGCATGACAGATTTTCTTCAAACCCAATGGACATTTTAATACATGAATAAACATTTTTCATCCTTAGCTGTATATGCAATATGCTATTGTATTGTTGCAGTAACTACATAGATGCTTCTGTATCTTCTAAGTTTCTTTTAACTTTATTTTATATCTGCATGTCCATGTGTTAACTTAGTCCTCTTTCTGTGGTATTTTTCTTTGTTCCTGTACCACCTCTAGCACAGAAGCACACTTGTGACAGGTTTCTCTGTAGCGGACTGTTGAGTTTATTATTGAATTGGTATTCACTCTACCGTCACGTTGGTAAAACCATAGTTTGCTCAGTCCAAATTTTTATATGATACAAAATTCGTAGTTGCAAACCACAGAATCCACTCTCTAGCTAACATCAGCAGAAAAAATAATTTTAAAGGGCATTTGGGAGCCCACAGAATTTACAGGACACCCAACAAACAGGTCAAGAGAATGGGGTCACCACTCGAACCACATTCCGGGCACCTGCCCCATGAGTCCTCATACTGACATCACAGCTTCCACCAGTGATGCTGGGGACTGGAGGTGAGAAGTGCTGTCACACTTTTGCCCTGAAAGGGACATCTTTACCACCTCTCTTACCAAAAAAGATGAGTTTTCTCATTTGCTTTCTTGCATTGCTATTTCTGAATTGAAGTCATGTGAGAATGCAGTTGGTTGGTGGCCATTAGATCCCATTGCCAGACTAAGGAAGCTGGGAGAGTGAGTTCTGGCTTCAGTTTTGGGAAGAAGGGACTCGTAAAGTGGCAAAATTTTGAACAACAGGAAATGTAGGCAAAGATTCTAGATGTGGCCACAAGCGTAGTAAATGTCATTGCATTCTTTAATACATATTTACCCCTGTACAGGAGCCACTGATTATCACTTTGATATCATTTATGCCTGCATAGCCTGTAGCGTTTGGGCTAGAGAATCTTCCAAGTGAAAACATTTTTCAGAAAGTAGTGGAAATAGTAGTTTCATGAGTTAAATACCAGTGGAACCTGCAAGGACACCTGCAGATATGAATGGTTAGCAAATAAAAATCTGCTTTTCTCATAAAATATAATATCAGAGAAAGAGTAAAATGTGGTTTAAGGTGGTGAATAAAGGAAAGCTCTAGCTGATTACTATTATACATCTGGTCAGCTATTGGGACAGCCTTAAAAGCAAAACGTCTTGCCCTCCCAAATAGTTTTGAAAGGTCTTTCAAGGTGTTGGTTTTGAGTTTTAGCCACATAATACTTATTCATATTTAGTAAGAATTACCCAGCCTTAACATTTTCTGTTAAAAGGATAGGCCTGTCATAGTTATTCATTTTCTGAATCTCTTTTGTCTTTATTTCTCAATGACTTATATTCCAACTTGGGATTCTACCAAACTACTTTGTGATTTGGTGTGCTTATAACTGAATGGGATAAGTACATTATGATGGAATGTAGATTTGAATGTCACCAGGGGTAGTTTTGAAACACCAGTTGTAAGGGGCTGAAATTTGAACTGCTTAACTTTTTTTCTTTTATATTTATCCTTTGAGGTTGTAAAAATATCCTCTTTATGCCTATTTTCCCACAGTTATTCTTGTATGACTTATTGTCAGATTTAAAGTAAAGCAAGGCAAAAATGTGTCCCGTTTAAAAATATGTATCATTTGTTGTTTGGTATCTATGGGAGTTATTAGATTGTTTTTTCTCTGAACTTGAAATACAAGGAAGAAATATGTAGAATGAATTTTTTGTATTCAAAGAGGAGCATCCCAGCTTTCCACTGGGTGACAGAATTACCTTTCTTTTATGTGATGAAAAATGAATGCATACTTCACTGCAGAGTATTTATTACAGTAAGTCCTCTACCTACAAACCTTCAAAGATGCAAGCTGGCATTCACATGTCCAATCAGGTAAGTTCACATGTCTGGCGTGCATTGTCACGTGTGTGCATCCTTTACAAGAGGTTGTGCTTTTGTGTACTTTACTGTACAGTACTGTATAGAGTACAGTAGTGCAGTATCTTTATTTTGAGCCCAGGATGTCTGGAAGCAAGTGTGGAAGCAAGTGTAAAAGCAGTGGTGTTGTAGCTGGTACTGCTAAGAAGTGCCAAGCGATAACAATGGAAACTGTACTGTAAGATTAAAAATGTTTTCTTTATTTTTTGTGTTTGTTTCTTATGTATTATTTGTGTGAAAAGTATTATAAACCTATTACAGTACAGTACCATATGGCCGATTGTGTTAGGTGGGTACCTAGGCTAACTTTGCTGGACTTATTAACAAATTAGACTTACGGACGTGCTCTCGGAATGGAACTCGTTCATATGTAGGGGACTTACGTTACTATATTCCACACATCAAATTACTTCTCCCATGTCAATGAGTAGATGACCAATTTACTCTGTGTTAGGACCTATGTATTGGGTTTTTTTAGGGAGCTCAATAAATAGTACCCCTCTTCTTAATTCTGAACAAAAAGAGAAACAAAACAGAAGAATAAGGCAAATAGGAAATCAAAATCTATATGATTTTTGGGCTTCCCTGGTGGCGCAGTGCTTGAGAGTCCGCCTGCCGATGCAGGAGACGCGGGTTCGTGCCCCGTTTCGGGAAGATCCCACATGCCGCGGAGCGGCTGGGCCCGTGAGCCATGGCCACTGAGCCTGCGCGTCCGGAGCCTGTGCTCCGCAAATGGGAGAGGCCACAACAGTGAGAGGCCCGCATAACGCAAGAAAAAAAAAAAAAAATCTATATGATTTTTATTATGAATAAAGGCTGAGTTGGAGCATGTAGCTTAGTGAGAAGGCCAAGTGGGTCAGCTCATGTTCAACCAGAGAAGTCGGCAGCTTACCTTCCGGGCACAGCTGGAGAAGCAAGCAGAATGTGTGTTCCCTGTGGGTAGCGCATTCCCAAGAGGAGGGGGTTTCTGAGCAGCCCTGGCCAGTTTATTCTTCCCAAATTAGCCAGTTAGAGAAGTCAACTAAGAAGTCCACTGAAGAGAGCAAAAGGATAGGATAGGGGAGGAGTTTAGAGTGAATAGAAACCACTCACTTGGAAGAAACAGCAGTAAATGCCTCCCATTTTACATTAACTTTGCCAACTGCTTTTAGGAATCCTTCAGGTATTATAGTTTTTAAAAATTTTGCAAATCATTCTTTTTAATATTTGATACTTAAACTCTTTCTGACAGTCATTTGGTAGTATCCAATAATTTGAAAAAGGATACCTTGTTTTTACAGCAGCTTGGTCTTAAGTCATTGTTATTTGGCTCCATGGGAGAGTAACAGTGGACAGTGTTTATGTAGGAGAGGCTCAAGGAGAGGCCTCTTATTAGGAGCGCAGTTCTGTCATCAGAAGGACTTCCTAGCTATGTGGCCTTGGGGAAAAATGAAGCTTTCTGTGTCTCAGTGTCCTCTTCTATAAGAGAGGATAATAATAACACCTACCTCAAAGGGGAATTGTGAATATTATGAATTAATAAAAATAAAGCAGTAAATAGTGCTTGGAACATAGGAAGTGCTCAGTAAATATGGGCAACTATTCTCAGAAATCATAAAGTTATAGAAAGTTATTGTATGTTGTTAAAAATGGCCTTTAGAAGAAACTGATTATTAAATACTTGAAGTTGTCAAAGACCTTTCAGACTAGATTTGAATTATACAGGAATAAGCTGGTGAAGGAAAGAATTATTTACAGCTACTATAGATGATATGGAATGAAAATGAAGAGTAAAAGAGAAGGGCATTGAAGAGAGTGGAATATTCCGTTTTGCCCTGTTGACTCCCTAGAAAGCTTACCTTCTCTACTAGAGAACAGATTTCCTAGCCTGGATCCACTTCCTGTTTGTTTTTGTGGCATCTGTCCCAGTGTTTTCTGAAATACTCCGTGTGTTTCTCTGAGTGATAAAATTAATGCCATTATTTAGGAATAAGACAGGTCTGCCACATACTAGCTGTCTAAATATTGGAAAATTATTCAACTTTCTGGGCCCAGGTACCCTGTATGTGAGATGGATATAATACCTCCTCATAGGGTATTATGAATGTAAAATGAAACAGTTGATGAATGAAAAATAATGTGGGTACTCAGTAAATCTTAGTTCCTTTTCTTATTCCCACATTAATTGTAACTAGCTTTTTTCTCTTAGTTGTGTTGGATTCCCTTATTGATAAAATTGGGATAACAATACTAACTTTATAGGCTTGTTAGGATTTAATGAAACAATGTATACATAGAGCTGGTATAGTTCCTGGTACATAATATATAAATAGTACTGATGATGTTACTTAGGAAGTTGAACATTTTCATATGCTTGTTATTTGTATTAATTTTGTGGCTTGTTTATGTTTCCACTGGTATATTCTTTTTTATAATTGGTGTTTGTGGTTCAATTTTGTTATGATATTTTTACCAAGCAGGATTTTGAAGGATGATTGGGAGTTTTCCAGAGAGTAAAAAAGGGAAAGTATGTACCAGACAAAAGGAGAATTCTGTACAGACACACAGGCATGAAATAGCATGGTCTATGTGGATACATACAAGTATTAAGATATAATTGCAATATAAATGCCCCAAGACAGTAGAAGGTGTTTGCAAGTTACCAAATCATGAAATGCCATGTATACCTGATAAAGTGCTTGGATTTTTATCTTCTAAGTCTGATTAGTGAAGGGAGGTTAATGAACCTGTTGGGGTTATGTTCTAGAAATTTTACCCTATGACCACAGGAGGGGTGAGGCGATTAGAGGCAAGGTGGTCAGTTAGGAGGTGATTGTTGAGAGATGATGAATGGAGGCAGAGCCAATAAAAGGAGAAGACTTTTACTCACAAGATATACAGGATCTGAAAGGCAGCAAAACCTGGTACTTATTGGGATGTTAGGTACCCAGATTTCTGACTTGGATGATTTAACAGATGGTACAGTCAAGGTTGGGGAGAAATAATCGGTTCCATTTCAGAGTTACAGAGTTTGAGTTTTCCTTGGGACCCGTGGAAATTGTGCATTTTGGGCTGAGGGAGAGAGGACTGGAGACGGGGATTTATTTTTCTCTATATGCGAGTGTACAGAGAAGAGGACCAACAAGATGGAACACCGAGGGTGCTGTTTTTTTGTGGCTAGGTAGATAAATACAGTAAGTCCCCTACATACGAACGAGTTCGGTTCCTAGAGCATGTTCGTAAGTCCAACAAAGTTAGCCTAGGTACCCACCTAACACAATCGGCTATATAGTACTGTAATGGGTTTATAATACTTTTCACACAAATAATACATAAAGAATAAACGCAAAAAATAAAGAAAACATTTTTAATCTTACAGTACAGTTTCCATTGTTATCGCTTGGCGCTTCCTAGCAGTACCAGCTACATCACCTCTGCTTTTACGCTTGCTTCCGGACATCCTGGGCTTGAAATAAAGATACTGTACTACTGTACTCTGTACGGTACTGTACAGTAAAGTACACAAAAGCACAACCACTTATAGAAGATGCACGTACGTGACAGTGTACGCCAGACACGTGAACTAACATGTGATTGGACATGCGAATACACATTCACATGTTTGAAGGTTCGTAACTTGAGGATTTGTATGTAGGGGACTTACTGTAGTATTCAAGGAGAGAAACTGAGCAGGAAAATTAGAGAGCAAGAAGTAGAACCAAGAGAACATTGTGCCATGAAAATAGAGAGAGGAGGGGATCTCAAGGACTGATCGGATAATACAAGCCAAGTGAAATAAGGATTAAAATGAGTTCTTGGATTAGTTGCCACTTCCTGGCTGATATCCTATGCAACAGTCTTCTGAGGAATTAATCAGTGTGCCTTGATGGTTAAGTAAGTTCAGAAAACTTCACATGACTTTGGCCCTTGAATCATTCTCAGGACGCATTAATGTATCCCAGATGTTGAGAAGCCCTGCAAAAAGACAGTTTGGCTTAAAACAGCACTTCCAAAAAAAACCAAAAAACAACAAAGGGCTTCCCTGGTGGCGCAGTGGTTGAGAGTCCGCCTGCCGATGCAGGGGACGCGGGTTCGTGCCCCGGTCCGGGAAGATCCCACATGCCGCGGGGCGGCTGGGCCCGTGAGCCATGGCCGCTGAGTCTGCGCGTCCGGAGCCTGTGCTCCGCAACGGGAGAGGCCGCGACAGTGAGAGGCCCGCGTACCGCAAAAACAAAACAAAACAAAACAAAAAAACCCAGCACTTCCTCATGCATATGAGCAGGGTGTGCTTTTTTTTTTTTAGCAAGAAAGGGGAGCACCGTTAGCACCCTGTGTAATAGCGTTGTTCCTCAGCTGTCTTGGGAAATGCCTGATGGGCAACTAGAGGACACCAATGGAGCTGTGGGGAGAGATGCCAGAAAGCAGCAGGCTGGTGAGTGAGAAGGCCTAGGGCTGTCTGATTATATCGACAGCTTTGACTAAGTCTAAAGTAAGCTTCTCTGTAGTTTTTCTACGCAGCGGGATGTGTTAGTGTTCCCGTTATCCCTGTTTTGTTCTAAAGATTTGCAAAACTGAGCTCCTGTTCTCCTTACTCCTCCCAAACGTGCCTCTCTTGCGGCCTTCCTCATCCCAGTGACAGGGGTCCCCCTCCTTCCAGGGGCCCAGCCCTAGGTCTTGGAGTCATCTCTGTGTCTTCTCTTTCACTCACATCAGCAAATTCCATAGGCTCTACCTTCAAGCCGTATTTATAATTCCATCCTTCCTTTCCGTCTTCACCTGCACCACCCCATCTCTGTCCTGTTTCGCCAGTCTCATGGGCGCTGAGCTGCGTGTTCAGTGTCGGCCCCGATTCTCCTGCTCTTGCTTCATCCCGAAACACTGCCAGGGGGTCGGGGCTTGGCTCTCACCCTCAGGATGCTCAGTTTCTCTGCGGTGTCTGCACTCAGATAAAGCACCAGGCTGTGGACCTGGGATCTAGGTGCTCCAGCAGCTTTCTGGAGGGGTTGGATACCATGACTCTAAGTGGAGAGGAAGGGAGAGTCATACATGTGAAACAGTAGGGGGAAAACACACACACACACACACACACACACACACACACACCTAGTTCCTAAAATCCTTGTAATTTCCTAAGTGATAAGAGCACTAGGGGCATCTTTTGTTCTAATATTTGGTCTTTGACTCTGGTTCCTGACACAGAGCTCCTAAATCTCTTAGAATTCCCTGGGTGACAGGAATGTCTTTTGTACTAATGAGGTGGCTCTTGTTGGGCTCCTGGATGGCTTCAGAATGGGAACTGGTCACCAGAAAGATCAAGTGATAATTAGAAGCTTGGAACTTTCAGTCCTACCCCCGTCCTCTGGGAAAGAGAAAGGGGCTGGAGATTATCACTGACTGATCATGTTTACATGATAAAGCTTCCATAAAAATCCTAAATGTATAGGGTTTGTAGACTTCTGGGTTGGTGAAGGTATCCACGTGCTGGGAGGCCTGTGCACCCCAATCCCTGAGAACAGAAGCTCCTGCACTCGAGACCCTTCCAGAACTTGCCCTACGTATCTCTTCATCTGGCTGTTTATCATCCGTATCCTTTAAAATATCCTTTGTTATATAATAAACTGGTAAACGTTAAGTAAGTGTTTCCCTGAGTTTTGTGAGATGTTCTAGAAATGATCAAATCCAAGGAGGGGGGTCATGGGAACCTCTGATTTGCAGTTAAGTTGGATAGAACCTGGGGATTTCCTATTGAAACTGGTGTCTGAAGTGGGGCAGTCTTGTGGGGCTGAGCCCGGAACTGGTGGGATCTGAAGCTGTCTTCAGGCAGATACTGTCAGAATTGAATTGAGCTGTGGCATCCAGCTGGTGTCACAGAGAACTGCTTCGTGT